TTCACAACCAATCTGGCTTTATACCTCGGTTGTGAGCTGTTCTCACTTGTTTTTAGTCTAAACACCCATTTATTCTTGAGTGCTCTCTTGCCCTTAGGCAGCTTCACCAGGTCATACGTGTTATTCTCATGCAAGGATTTGATCTCATCTTGCATGGCTGCTAACCACTGATCTTTCTGCTCATGACTAAGAACCTCTTCATACGACTCTGGCTCTCCCCCATCACTAAGCAACAAATACTCATGAGCACTGTACCTGGTGGAAGGTCTCTTGTCTCTGGTGGACCTCCTAGGCTGAACAGGAGGTGATGAAACCGGTGGTGTCTCTGTTTCAGTAGCAGGATCATCATCAAACTCACCATCCTGCTCTGTCTCAGCTCCTCCTTTAGGAGAATCATCTGATTGTGGAGGAACTGGATCTAAATCAACAGGAATCTTAGGTGAAGATTCTGGCATCTTGCCTTTTCCCATATCATCAATGGTCTGGTCTTCAAAGAAAATCACATCTCTGCTTCTGAAAACTTTCTTTTCTACAGGATCCCAAAGTCTATACCCAAAATTATCATTTCCATACCCCAAGAATACACACTGCTTGGGTTTGCCATCAAGCTTCGACCTTTCATCTTTGGGAATATGAACAAAGGCACGACAACCAAAAACTCGCAAATGCCTAAATGAGACATCTTTCCCCTGTCCAAACTCGTTGTGGTAGATCACCATCCAACGGAACTGAGGGAGATAGGTTGATCAAATCAACTGCTGTTTGCATGGCTTCACCCCAAAAAGATTTAGGCAGCTTTGCATTCGAGAGCATACACCTAACCTTTTCGGTAATAGTTCTGTTCATTCTTTCTGCCACGCCATTCTGCTGCGGAGTCTTCGGAACACTCTTCTGAAGTTTAATGCCATGGTCTCGGCAATACTTCTCAAACGGACCCCTGTACTCACCACCATTATCTGCTCGAACACACTTCAACTTCTTGCCAGTCTCTCTTTCAACTCTAAGGTGAAAGTCTTTGAACACATCTAATACCTGGTCTTTAGATTTCAAAGAAAAACACCAAACCTTTCGAGCATAGTCATCAATAAAAGTAACAAAGTACAATGCTTTACCCAACGACCTATCTTTCATGTAACATACATCTGTATGAACCAACTCTAGAGCACTGGACTTTCTAGATGGAGGAGAATTTTGAAAGGAAACCCTATGTTGTTTACCATAGATACAGTCAACACAAGGTTCTAGAGCAGTACCTTTCACCTCTGGGAGAAATTGCTTCTTACCAAGAATCTGCAACCCCTTAACACTCATGTCTCCAAGCCTTCTGTGCCAGAGATTAATGGAGGCATTGTGAGTTGCATTCACCTCTCCATTCTTCAACTTTGCATTCAACACATACAAAGAGTTCAACTTTTTTCCTCTAGCAATAACAAGATTCCCTCTGGTAATTGTCCAACGACCACCACCTTCAGTGCTATGATAACCCTCATCATCAAGTTTACCAACGGAAATAAGGTTCATACGCATATCCGGAACATGTCTGACATTCTTCAAGACAAGAGTACAACCTGTATTCGTTACCAATGATACCTCTCCCATGCCGACAACATCGCATGAGGCTTGGTTGCCCATTCTTACACGACCAAAATCTCTAGGTATATAAGAGGTAAACAAGTGTCTGTGAGGCGTCACATGATAAGACGCACCTGAATCACCGAACCAATCATTGTCGTGACTCGCAACATTAATTGTATCATCATCACAGTACACAAATACATCACTGGTAGTTACTACTGCAGTAGTGTCATCATCACTTGATTCATCTTTCTTGCCTTTACCTTTTCTCGCTGCTAGTTCTCTCTTGAGAACCCTGCACTCCCTCTTAAAGTGCCCATTCCCTTGACAATGGTAGCACACGATATCTTTCTTGGATTTAGACCGTCCCCTGGACTTGTCATTCCGATCACGTGGCCCTCTCGCTTTACTTCTCCTCTTCTATCTCGACTTTTCTGTCACCAAAGCCCGTGACTCAGACTCACTACTCTGCTCTTTTCTTCTGACTTCTTCATTCATCAAAGCCTCTTTGACCTGATCCAAGGTCAAGACACCATCCTGAGTTGAATTACTGATTGACACTACCAAAGTGTCCCAACCGTCGGAAGAGAACTAAACAATAACAAAGCCTGCACCTCATCATGCAACTTTAAACCTACATTCACAGCTTGATTCAACAAACCCTGAAACGAACTCAAGTGCTCATTCATGCTAGCACCATCTTTGTACCTCAACCCGGTAACTGCTTGGTGCGGATGACTTATTGATGCCGGACTTCTTCCAAGACATATTCGGATTTTCTTCCAAAGTTCATCAGCTTTTGTTTCTCCCGAAAAGTGATGAAACACACTTTGATCAATCCACTGTCGAATATTACCAACGATCTTCCTGTGCATATCAGCCCATTTTTATCACCATATCACTTGGCCTACCTTCATCCCCTAGAACAGGATCAAACAAATCTTTGCAATACAATAAGTCTTCAATTCTAGGCTTCCACATATGATAATTGGATGAAGTCAATTTAATCATCGTACCAGTACTCGATGACTCTTCCATTTTATTGGTGTAACACCTCAATTACCGAACCGTAGCTCTGATACCACTGATGTGGCGGAAAGGGTATAAGCACAACACACTGCAGAAGCGAGCCCCAAGGAAAAACTCCTTTCCTACTACCAATAAAATAGGACAACCACCCAAACAAGCAACTAACTCAAGAACTGATAAAATAAAGGAGACACGCAAATTTACGTGGAAACCCAAATCGGGAAAAACCACGAGACTGTACCAACAGTCAAATCTCCACTATCACAATAATGGGAAAACAGTCTTCACCGACTGGTGGATACGCAGGACTTCACCCAAAGGTGGATTACAACAATACTCTTCCACACACACCTATCACAAAGTAGGACTGGAAGGATCTAACCAAGAGAGAGCTAAACCGAAAACTAAACCCTAGCTTTCTTTCTTTTTCTCTCGTACAAAACAATGCACGGCTGCCCAAATTTTTCTTCTCTCTTGGCTGAAAAATACACCCCTAAAAATTATGCCAAAGCCTTGCTTTTATAGAGCAAAAAAACCTAAAAACAAAAACCCAATTGGAGTAGGTTTTGTTTCCTAAAACCAAAGCCAAAATTGGCTTGGTTTTATTTGTTTCCTTGTTGACCCAATTAAAGGGATACCGGGCCCAACAATAATTAACTCCGACAAGATTCAATTCTTTGATCACTAAGATAAAATTCCCAATCTTCAACTCTCTTAAAAAAGCTACTTCGCATCGTACGTGTTCATGCGCCGGTGACCAGAGAAGTCGAAATTGCTTCTACTTACTCCCACTGGTCCTTAATATCAGGCATACTGCTTCTACTTATTTCCACTGGTCCTTAATATCAAGCATTTTAAGTTGTCATAACTTTCACCTAGTCCGTATTTTTTAAATTGATAAAAAATCTTTAAAAATATTTTGATTTTTTCTTTTGTCAACTATAAATGCGTATTGAAAATATTTTAAAGACTTTTTTATCAATTAAAAATGCGTATTAGGTAAAATTTAGGACAAATCATCTATAGTTCGCAAAATTGAAATTGTATACAGCGTTTATATGGCGTATAAATATTATGTTTTTGGGTACTACATTATGCGTAATTTTCTCTTAATTCTCATGGTAATTAGCCAATGTAATAAAACCAATAACTGCAGCACGTCCAATCCTAATACTCCAGTCTCATAATGCGAGTGATCATCAAACCAGAATTCTGGCTGATAATGCGGGAAAATGCTGGAAAAATGCCCGAAAAGTGTTGGAAAATAACCCGCATTAACTGGTTACATCGCACAAATCTCCACCACCAAAACTTCTATCTTTGTCACAAACTAAATTAAGGTTTGTATGTTTTAGAACCAATCACAATCACAACTCCGCATGCCAATTTCTTCATGTTGGAGAAACTACATCCAGCATTTGGCGTCCCTCTTCCTTAAAAACAAAATTAAAAAAACTCTGGAAACCCACTAGAGATGGAAAAACCCACGCCCACTGTAAACTTACAAACCATAGTAGAATGTAAACCATTTTAGGCAAGTTTTGGGTGACAAATTCGGGTGTGAAATTAGGAGTTCAAGTATGAGTTTACCATAACAAACCTTTATAGGTGCCAGTTGGAAAGAATATGATGGAAATTACGTATAGATTTAACATTGAGAAGAGTTTCAATCACCAATTGAATCGGAAGGTAAAGATGATGGAAAATTACGTAAAGTAGTAGTGTTTTTTCCCTTTAAATTAAATATTTTATTAATTTATCTGCTATTCAATAATTCGCTGAATAAAGAAATTTTGAGGATCGTCACCGTATGTAGTTGAAACGTAAAAGGATCACAGTACTGGGTTTCTTTTTAAGGTGAAAATGAATAGAATTTTTTTTTTTTTTTGTTGGAGAATAAATTTACTCCCATTGTTGGTTAGGGTTTCTTGCGTTTCACATAAATTTCCAGCCTCTCAATCCCAGATCAAACAGTCCTCGATGGAACCACCGCTCATTCCCAACGAATTGCATCGGGAGATCCAGAGATTTGTTCCTGTAAAATACCTGATGCGATTTAAGTTCGTCTCCAAGGCTTGACTTTCAACCATCTTAGATCCATCTTTTGCAAGGACCTACCGCGGGGGTTCTCGAGGTTTCCTACTGCGTAAAACCCCTAATACGTTCCTTGAACTACCTATGTTCTACCTTTTCACTCTGCATAACGACGAGGATGATAGTGATGTTCGGAATCATACTTGTCGCGTTGACCGTCGTTACTGAACTATGACGGGATGCGGTACGCATCAAACGTTGTCGACGGTTTGATTTGCTTGTACTCGTTCAACCACATATGATTGCACAATATCGCTACCCGTGAAACGCTGGAACTCCACGTCACTGAAGTCCCTAACAACATGGGTACCCCGGCGTTTTGTCTTGGTTTTGATCCAGTTGTGAACTCATACAAATTGCTCTTGGTAGATCAATGTCGACGTCGTGACAAGTGTCAGATTCTGACCATTGGAAAGGATTCCACCTGGAGAGATATTGATCGAACTCCTGTGGATATAGAGTTTTATGGACGAGGTAATTACTCAGAAGGAGCTCTTTACTGGAACAACCACAACGTAATCGTAGCTTTTGATCTTGTTCAGGAGAAGTTCCAATCACTTGCCGTGAAACCGAATGTAATGCACTCTTTGGAGAGTTTTGGGCCTATGGCCGTACTATCTGGGGGCGAGTTTATTATAAGATATAACTACAAGACGAGAAGTTCTCCAGCTTCCGGAGAGATGGGGGCGGCGAAGAAAGAGACTTGGAGTGACCTGCAGGTTATAAGATGCGGAAACTATAGACATTTCCCTACGGGACTATTTCCCGATGGAAAGATACTGCTACATGATCATTTAGCAGGTCGCTATTACTTGTTCGATCCAATCGACAAGGAAACCAAGATGATTGTAATGGAAAATCCTGCCCTAAGCCTCCAACATATTTAAGGATATCCGTTACTGGTGGAATCAATTTAGAGGATACCATTATTACGAGGAAAACATTATCTCATTGAGATGCTTATTAACTTCCACGTAATCCTAAACTCACAATACAAATCTTTTTGGCACTTAGCTGCTTTGTTCCTACTCAAATCTTAATTTGTTATCCGAAAACATTTATGATATCATTTGTTTTGACTTGTTTTTTATCCCTTTCCTTCAGTTATACTCAATTTGTACAAGAATAAAGAGGATGCCAGACCATATATCACTCGTGTATTGCCTCTTGAGAGAGCCAAGCGAATGATACTCCCAGTCACTGCTGATGAGATTAGATCAATCGTGTTTGGGTCTGATGATGGCAAAGCTCCTGGTCCTGATGGACATATTCTTCTTTCTTCAAACATGCTTGGCCAACTATTGGAACTGAGGTCACAGGTGCAATTCTTAATTTCTTTGGTAGTGGCTGCTTACTAAAAGAAATTACCTCTACTCTTATAACCTTAATTCGAAAAGTTCAGTGTCCAAAGAGAGTGGGTGATTTTAGGCCAATTTCTTGTTGTAATATGATTTATAAAGTTATTTCTAAGATTTTGGCAAATAGAATGAAAAACTCTTTAGATGCTTTAGTGGACAAATCTCAAACAGCTTTTATCCCTGGGCGTAAAATTAATGATAATATTCTTTTGTCACAAGAATTGTATTTTGGATATAATTAGAAAAGACTACCTGCTCGTTGTGCTTTTAAGATTAAATTGATGAAAGCTTATGACACAGTTGAATGAGATTTTGTTATCTTAGTGTTGGAATGTATGGGATTTCATCCAAGGTTTGTTGGTTGGATTAAAGAATGTATTGCATCCCCTGCTTTCTATATGTATAAATGGCATGTCAGAGGGGTACTTTAAAGGATCACGAGGATTAAGACAAGGAGATCCTCTATCACATTATCTCTTTGTTCTAGTAATGGAGGTGTTACATGGTATATTGGCAAATATGATTGCAGCAAATGGTTCTTTCAAATATCATTGGACGTGTGAGAGAACTAAGACATTCATGATTAGTTTTGCAGACGACCTTTTCCTATTCTGTGATGCTGATCCACAATCTATTGATCTTCTTAGGAGAGGTACGCAACTTTTTTCTTCTTCGTCAGGGTTACAAGCAAATCCAAGCAAGAGTAATATTTTTGTTTCAGCAATAGCCAAGCCAAATCTTGATGATTACAAGGACATTATGGGTTTGGAGGAGGGTAAGCTCCCAGTCAGGTATTTGGGTGTTCCATTAATTACTTGTAAGCTTACTATGACAGATTGTGCTCCTCTTGTGAACAAACTAGATTCTCGGATTGGGTCTTGGACCAACTTCTCCCTTTCTTATATTGGTCGGGTACAATTGATTAATTCTATTTTATCAGCTTTGCATATTTATTGGTCTGCTGTGTTTATTTTGTCCAAAGGTGTTATTCGGCAGATTGAGGAGCGTATTAGGAAGTTTCTTTGGTATGGCAATTCAGATAAAGGCTACAATAAAGTGACTTGGGATAGAGTTTGTATGATAGAGGAACAAGGGGGTCTTGGTATATCTCCAGTACAACCTTGCAATCAAGCCCTTATGGTTCGACATATATGGTCTTTGTTGGTTGATGATGGGAAATCAGTTTGGGCAGATTGGATGAAGCTTTATCAACTCAAACAACAATCATTTTGGAGTATCACTATCTCAGCAACATCACCATGGAATTGGCGACAACTTTTAAAGTTGCGCCCGCTAGTACGTCATGCCTTCACATATCGTGTTGGTGAAGGATCTTCTTTTTTGCCTTGGAAGGGCCTTTGGCACGAGATTGGACCAATTCATGAATTCTATCCCAATGCATCTAGATTTATAGGACTTCCTTGTAATGCCAAGCTACTTGAAGTGATTTCTGAAGGGGAATGGAACTGGCCTATAACCAGGGATCCTAGCATTATTCATTATATATGTAGCCATTTGCCAACTATATTTGCAGGTCCAGACTGTGTTCTGTGGAGCCTTGAGCTCAACAAGGTATTCTCGGTCGCCTCGGAACTAAAAATTTTCATAATCAGCGGACCGATTCAACCCTGGACGAGTTTACTCCACGGACTCGGAAAAATTCCAAGGCATAATTTTATTCTTTGGCTTGCCATCCAAGAACACTTACGTACACTTGATAAACCATGGCTTTCCGGACATGATCAGATTTGTATCTTGTGTAATGATGCTGATGAGTCTCATGATCACCTATTATTTCAGTGTCATTATTCAGCCAGGTGTTTGTTTATTTTAAAAAGAGAGGTCAAATTCCTTTGGCCATATTCAAGTTGGCACTAAGACATTGTGAGGGCTTTCAACAGGTGGAGAGGCAGACATCTTGTTAATATTGCTATCGTTTGATGTTATCTACGAGTGTGTATTTGATTTGGTAGGAGCGTAACAATCGTAGATTTAGATCTATATGTCATCCGCCAGATATTATTGTTAGATTGGCTATTAATATTATTCGAGATAGGTTGATTACGATGAATTTAACTCACTCTTTGCAAGTGCGTGTAATTCAATGCATTTGGAAGATTGCTTGGTAGTTTGTTAGAGATATTGGGGAGAATCTCCTCATTATTTTTGCTGTATTGATTGTACTGATTTTTTTTTTTTTTACTTAATGAAACTGATTCCCAAAAAAAAAATAATAATAACGAGGCTACAGTATATATGCTTGATTTCTGGTGTGTTAATTTGCAAAATGTGTCATACATGTACAGCCATCCCAAAAGTTTAGTTTACTTCATCTGAAGTGAAGCCTTTTCGCCACAATTCTATACTCCCTCCGTCACGGAATTAATATCTAGTTTCGATTTTCAATTTTAGTTAAAATTATACTAAAAGTGAAATTATATTTTACTGTTGATCACGGAGAAGTACTTGTTAATTTTATGCTGCTCGTAAAAGGTCAAAAATTGAAGTAAGATATATACCATACATATTCCTTTTAAAAAAAACTTTATTTTAATGAGCAACTTAACAAACTCTGTCATTCTACGTATTTCTATTTTTTCCTTCTCTTTGATACAACGAGAGAATATAGGGTTGTTCACCTTTACAAACAAGATGGGCCGATGCGAGTTCAGGCATTTCGATGCCATTATTATTCGAACTTGTACCATGATTTGTACCGTGCCGTCCTTAATAAGATCAATGATTTGACTGGCTATATATGATCTCAATCGACTTATCTATTTGGTAAGAATGCTATTTATACTGAATTGTTACTCTAGCCTCAACCATCATCATCAATTTTTTGTTTCTACGATCTAGGTACATAGAGAATATGTTATATTTGGTGGAGAGGACCATATCATTAGAATAGTGTTTCTCTAATGCATGTTACAAAATTGAAACCTTTGTATAAACATATTAAAATAATTGTACTGTTTAGTTATTGGCTGCTAGTATATAATTTGTATCAAAAATTAAAATTTAAAACAATTAGTTTCAGAGAAGGACTTTATATGGAACGGAAAAGAGTTTCTTTTCTGAAATGACCTAAATATCAAACTATTCGCTTAAATAACCCAATGCATATGAAATCATTTTCCCGGCCTAGTTCTTTTAATTTCCACATTGTCTCCAATCGAAGTCTCCACCTCTGTCCATGAGAAAAGTCAAAAGGTCAACTCCTTCCAATTTCTTCTGTCTAGTTGCAAAATAAGTATTAACATCCGAATTTTTTTTTTACCGCACTTAATTGCCAATCGCCACTACTTGCAGCCACCCGTAAACAGATTATAGTGTATTCCATAGGATAAGAATTAGTTATTGAACGTACCATAACTCTCCATCTTCCAATGAATTCTTGAAATGTAAACATTCTAATTGCCCATAAGTTGAAAGTTAAGACAGACTTGGAGGCGAAACTGTTACAAGAAGTTTTTCTTGTCAAGGTAAGGAAGCCGGAAATTAAGAACATTAAGATAATATAATGGGAGCTTCCACCTCAAAATGGTTTTGCCCTAAATCTAGATGGCTTTGCATGGGCATCTCTGGGTGAAATAAGCATTGGATACATTATCAAAGGTCATTATCGAAACTTCATCACAACTTCATGTAAAAATATTGGTCAGGCTCATAACTTTGATGCAGAAGTTGGTGCCATGTTAGCAGGACTACAAAAATTCGAGGAACTCAAACCAGAGTCAGTCCAAGTTTGATCTGATAACAACGCACTAGTGGACATGATTAAAGAAAAACGTGTTATCCTTGGAAAAACATAAACTCGCTCAAGCAAATAAAGGAAATCATGTCTAGATCACAATATACTCTCTAACATGTGTATAGAGAAGTTAATTCAGCTGCAAATTCTCTAGCCAAACTTGCCTCCTCAGGTATATATAACAACTAACTTTGCTCAATGGTCCCAATTGCCAAAAGATATTTATGGTATCTAAATTCTAGAGCAAAGGCTAGTTCCATTCTACGTGTAAAATAACTTGTAATAGGATTAGATTTTTCTAATACAATAAAACTGTCATGGAGTTTTTTTATAAAAATTTTTGTAAGACAATTTCTTATGGACAATTATCTATAGACAAGATAGAACTGTCAGGGAATTATTGTTTATTTTTTGTGAGACAGTTTCTTAGCTAATTGTTGCAATCAGAGCTGTCAAGGGATTTTGGTAGATTTTTGTACAACAAACTCTTCCTTTTGGGTAAGTCTTAAGCACTATCTATTGTAAATTTTTGTTAAAATCAATATCAGGAGATTCCCGCCACATACCGTCCTGGTTTCTTTAAAAAAAAATTGCTGCATTTTCAATATATGATAAAATGCCAAATAAAGTTTTGAATATTTTCCTTTGGGAAGTTTTCTGTATTCCTCCCTTTTCTTTGGCGTTCTGATTCTCTGTAATATAACAATCTAGTAAAGCATTCTGGATTAAAGCGTTGAAAGAGTTGTAGCAGTTTTTGCACAAATCTTTCAATTGGTGGCGAATGGGCTTTCAAGTCAGTGTTGAGGAGTCTATATTGGGTGCACCCGGGAGCATGGTGCATTCCCTCCTATTTCTTGTATTACTAGTACTTATTGTACTTTTTTTTAATTTTTTTATATTTCGCAAGTTTAGTTCATGTTACTTTTCTTGTCTCTCCTCCAAAAAAATATCTCTACTATTCAAACGAGCATAATTCTCAATCCATAAAATGTTAGAAAACGTGTTACATATAAAATTTATTGTATTCGTCGAAATCTACCTAAAAGGATCCATATCGAATATTTTTTTTGAGCTTAAAAATGACTAAATTTTGATGGACAGAAATAAAAAAAATTTTATGTTCATTTAGATGGATATCCAGTTTAAAAATATGACAACCAACTTATTTTATATTGATATTTTTGTAAAATTTATATCTCCTAATCCGTAGAGAATTAGAAAACAAATTATACAAGAAAGTTGTAGTACTCGACGAGATCTATCCGATAAGAAATACTTGGATAAAAAGTACAAATCGGTTGGATAATCGGTTAAAAAAATACGGACAAAGATATTCCAAAAAAAAGAAAAAGAAAAAAAAAAGTTGGAGAAGCAGTGCAAACCGTTGGTTGAATAATCGGTATGGGAACATTGGATAATCATTTTTCCAAAAAAAAAATATTGGATAAGAATTACAAGTCATTGGATAATCAAAGAAAATAATTGGATAAACATTACAAACTGGTTGGATAATCAATATAAACAAATAGAAAAATCATTTTCATAAAAAAGTAAGCAAAAAAAAAAGTTGGATAACCATCAACCAGAAGTTGGATACTCAGTATGAACATATATATATATATATATATATATATTGGATAAATTTTTTCTCAAAAAAGTGGAAAAAATAATTGGACAAACATATAAATTCTATTTGGATAGAGAAAAAATAATCGAGTAACCAATACAAAACGGTTGGATAGTCAGTACAAACAAGCTGGACAAGGATTTTCGTAAAAAGTAATATGACAAGAACAATTGGAGAAGAGAAAAAATGGCTGGATAAGCAGTACCATTTAGTTGGATAATCACCATTAACACATTGGACGACCACTTTTTACAAAATAGATGATTGGATAACCAGTACAAAAATAATGGATAATCAGTAGAAGTAAAAATGTTAGATAAGTACCAAAAAAACAAATGAGTAAGCGTCTCGATTGAAACTCTCTTTGACGTTCCTTAGTGATGAATAGTGCATACAAAGCTAGTGGATAGGCACTACCAAACCAAACCGGTTGGATAATCGGTATGAACACATTGGACAACCATTCCATCTTCCTCCAAAAAAAAAGGAAAAAATGATTAGATAAACATTACAAACCACTTAGATAATCAATGAAAATAATTAGATAAGCGTGTATAAACTGGTTGGATAATCACTATAAAAAATTAGACAATCATTTTTATAAAAAAGTAAGGAAAAAAAGTTGGATAACCATCACCAAGAAGTCGGATAATCAGTATGAACACATTGGATAAACATTTTCTCAAAAAAAAAAGAATAGAAAAGAAAAGAAATTCTGTATGGATAATTAGTGATAATAAATGGATAACCAATACAAAACGGTTGGATAGTCAGTACAAAAAAATGGACAAGGATTTTCACAATAATTAGAAAAAAAATGGTTGGATAATCTATACCAAACAGTTGGATAATCGCTATGAACACGTTGAACAAACATTTTTTTTCAAAAAATAAATAAATAAAAAGAAAAACTAGGTTGGATAAGCAGTACTAATTAGTTACATAATCAGTATTAACATATTGGACAATGATTTTCTAGAAAAAAAAGATTGGATAATCAGTACAAACGAAATGGATAATCAGTTCAAACAGGTCGGATAATCAGTATGAACACAATGGATAAACATTTTAAGAAAAAACATTTTCTTTCAATTATGCCCATAAAATTTTAATTCGTTTAAAAGATCGAAAAAAATATTCGATATAGATCTTGTTGGATAGATCTCTACGAGTTCTATAAATTTTATTTATAATTCGTTTACAAATTATTTACGAATCAAAAGGTATATGCAATACAAGAATACCAATTTAAAATAAAATTGGTTATCTATCTTATTTCTGCCCATAGAAATTTAGTCATTTTTAAGTCCGAAAAAAATATTTGATAGAGATCTTGTTGGATAGATCTCAAGGAGTACTATAAATTTTGTGTGTAATTCGTTTACAAATTTTTCACGGATTGAGAGTTATGCTCGTTTGAAGATTTAGAGATGTTTTTTAGAGTAGAGATAGAAAAAAGTAACAGAGAGTAAACTTACAAAGTATAGAAAGTTATTTAGAAAGGTGAAAAAAGTATAATAAGAACTGCATGTGCAAAAAATAGGAGGGAGAGCACGGTATGCACCCAATAATTTGCCGCGGAGTGCTGAGCTAAATGTTCAATGGGTTTTCTTCTTTTTGTTTTATGTTCTCTATTCAAACTTCAAAGCATAGATTATGGTTTTCGTAGTCCTTTTCTTTAAGAATTAACGAGTACAAGAATGTCTCCTGCTCTCGAACTAATTAAATGTAGCACTTAGCAGCTGAATATCATATCATTTGAAATTTGACCCTTTTTTATTTTTTATTTTGTAATCATGGTAGCAGCTAGTGGTTCCCTATATTGATTGTTTCTAGAATAGATAATTAACTAATACGGAGTTCTTTCAAAAAAAAACTAATACGGAGTTGAATTGTCAAAGGATTATATTCCTCTTTGGAGTAACCTGTATTAATTGTCAAAGGATTATATTCCTCTTACTATATTAGAAACAAAAACCACACTTAAGAGAAAGCATCATCATTTACTATGTGGCATTTCCACATCATATTTTTAAAATAAATTTTTATTTCCACATCTCTTAAATTTAAAAGGCAAATGTAATCTAAATTCACTTTCACGGGTTCATAAAAACCCCAAATCCTCATCCCCATCTCTACGACAATCGACTCCTTAATCAATCCCTTCTCCACAATTAAAAAAATAAATAAATTCCTCATCAATCATCAATTGAGAATATGTGGTGAAATATACTCCTTTCCTATTAACATGTTCAATCTTTTCATTAGTGATGATCAACTACATCTTAATCGAATAAAATTTCAACTTCAAAAAATATTCTCTTTACCTCTCTATATAAAAACAAAGGGAAAAAAAATCTCATTGATCTTGCTTCGGCCGTTGTGGTGGTGTCATTACAGGTATTAAAATTTAAATGATTTTATTTCCACAGATCATTGGTTTGGCTTTTATTATTTTTTGTTTTTCCCATTCAAGAATAGTGTTATTACTATTATTTTTACGCGTCCATCCATTACAGCTACCGTAGCCGTTGTCAGGTAGTATGATGTCATTTCTTATTTGGTAGTTAGCCTAGAATTTTTGTATGATTTTTGTTACAAAGTGTGGTTTTTTAAATTTATTTTTATGTTTCATTCAATTATAGTGGTTTTTCTTTTTTTAATTATGCAGTCTCAGGTTTTTTTTCGTATATGGCCAATTATGAAGTGTGTTTTTTCTTTGTTTAATTGCTTTTGATTTTATTTCATACTCCCAGTTGACTAATTATTATTATTATTATTATTATTATTATTTTATTTACAAATAAAACACGTTTTTTTTTGTTCGGGGTTTCAAGAATATACTTTTTTGGATTTGGTTTTTGGACGTTTTTTAGTTTCTCATCATATAAATAGTTCAGGTCGCTTCTTTTTACTAATTTATGGGGAATCCTTTTATGAATTTGAGGTGGAGAGGGAAGGAATGATGTTCTATGTTTATTTGTGTTTTTATACATTATTTTTACCTACAGAAAAAAAATAAAAAACTCTCAAATTTTAATGGGCTATCTTTTACTTCTTTTTTTTTTATTTGCCATGGTGAGGTGAGTTCTTTTTTGCTATATCTTGAAACCTATGCAAATTTACAATTATTTTCATTCTCATATTTGTGATCAACCAGTTTCAACAATTAACAAGTTTCAAAATCATATTTTTGATATTTTACTACCTATAAACTTTTGGAAGAAATAGTTCCAACAATTAAGAGTATACCCTTTGGAGGAAACTAAATACAAAGCTATTATAAATCTCCAAAACTAAGTATTAATTTGGCACAATCAATGGAGAACATCAATAAATTATCTTACTAATATTTAAACTTATTAGGATGCTTTTATATTTTGTCTATCATTTACTTCAAGACATATAGTTGATCAAGTTTATTTATATTTAAGAAGTAACACTTATAAAATATTTCTAAAATCTCCAAACGTTTCTAAAACGTAACGGGCCAAATACAATTTATTTTTTTGTCAAATACAAACATCACACTTATAAAATATGTCTAAAATTCTTCAAATATTTCTAAAATATATCGGGCCAAATACAAAATATTTTTTTTCCAGATACAAACATTTCTAAGATCTACACATATATTGGGCATTGCGCGACCAGACATCACTAGTATATATATATATATATATATATATATATATATATATATATATAGAAAGATACTCCGGTTGTCGATTATGGTTCTTGCACTGATGAGAAAAGCTTCTCGATCTCACAGTAAAAGTAACCAGTCATCAATGGCGGAACCACCAGTACTTCCCGATGAGTTGCACGGGGAGATCCTGAGACGGGTTTCCGTAAAATCCCTGATGCGATTTAAGTGTGTCTCCAAGACTTGGCTTCCAACCCTCTTAGATCCATCTTTTACCAAAACCTACGGCGGCGGTTCTCGAGGTTTCCTTCTGTGTATACCTCCTATTCCTACTTCTTTCAAATTCGGCCAACCGTTTCACTACCTTTTCACGCAGGATAACGATGATCGGAATACTTGGCATTACTCAAACTTGGGCCAGGATCGGACGTACGCGTACCCATCAAACGTTGTCAATGGCTTGATTTGCTTATACTCTTTGCATCATGTATGGTTGTACAATATTGCGACCCGTGAAAGGCTGGAACTTGAGCTCCTGACTTTGAATTGCATTATAATTGTTATTTTGGTTTTGATCCCGTAGTTAACTCGTACAAGTTGCTCTCCGTCGGTCACAAGTATCAGATTCTGACCGTTGAGAAGGATTCCACCTGGAGAGATATTGATCCACCTCCTGTGGATATAAATCATCGTGAAGGAGTTAATTACTCAGAAGGAGTTCTTTACTGGTTGACCTCTTGGGACCGCAATGAGATGGTAACTTTTGATCTTGTTCAGGAGAAGTTCCAATCAATTCCCCTGCCCGAACGTAATGTAAGTTACCAATTGGTGAATTCCGGGCCTGTGGCTGTCATGTCAGAAGCATATCCCGGAAATCGGTGGTCGGTCATATATTATAACAGCAACAACAACAACAACAACAACAGGAGAATTTCTCCTAAAGGAGCTTGGAGTGATGATGAAGTAATGTATGATCTGTCGTCTCAGGAGGAAACCGGACTTTTCCCTGAGGGACTATTTCCTGATGGAAAGATGCTACTATATTCTTCTCAGGGACACAGTTACTTGTTCGATCCAATCCAAAGGGAAACCAAGGAGATTGGGACAGCCTCTGAAGAATTTAGGAATATCCGTAATTGGACGGGTGGTTCTGTAATAAGGTACTATTATTATGAGGAGAACATCATCTCATTGAGATGCTTAACTTCCACATCCTAAACTCGATTGATACAAAATACGAATTTTTGTACATTGCTACTGTGTTAGCGTCTCAAATCTTTGTTAGCTATATAGTGCAAGATGATTCGTTGGCCTCAAACTTTTGTACTTAGCTATAGCTATATATAATCTCAATCAACTTATTTATTTGCATAGCTATGTATGGTCGTCATCAGATTTTTGCTTCTAGGTATCACATAGAGAATGTTATGTTTAACGCGTGAGTGAGGAATTAATTAATAGTGTTTTTTAGATTAGGATAAGATTCCTACCTGGAAAAAGAGGAATTAATTAATAGTGTTTCCTGTTTTTGGTTGTTTTAAGAATAGGATAAGATTCCTACCTGCAAAAAGATTTAAAGTTGTTATATATATAGGTGGCCGCTCGATGGTATGATACTTCACTTTTAGGTTTGCCCTCTTGATTTCATAGTGGAAATCCGTCCACATTATCAATGGTGGAACCAGTACTTCCTGACGAGTTGCACTGGGAAATCCTGAGATGGCTTCCAGCTAAATCCTTGATGCGATTGAAGTGTGTTTCCAAGATCTGGCGTTCAACCATCATGGATAGATCTTTTCGCAAAGCCTACTGCGGGGGTTCTCGAGGTCTTTTAATGCATAAGAAGTCACTTTTCTACTTGTTCAGGCTGGATGATATTGAGGAGGAGAATGATGATGGCCCCAATACTTGTCAAGTTTCTCATTACTCAACCGTTAAACACGGCTGTGACCATGAGATGCAAGCAACCGGCGTAGTGAACGGCTTGATATGCTTCTACTGTTCGGATCAGTTATGGCTGTACAATATTGGACCCGCGAAAGAATGGAACTTCGTGTTGCAGGATACCTAGATGGTAGTGATCGCAAAAATTATTATCTTGGTTTTGATCCCGACATCAAACTGTACAAACTTCTGTTCATTAAACGATTTCGTATTGCCAGCAATCTTCTTCATACTAAGTGTCAGATCCTGACGATTGGCGCGGCCTCGTCCTGGAGAGATATCAGTCCACCTTCTGTGGAAATAAACAGTGCAAGTGGTTACTCGGAAGGTGTTCTTTACTGGTTGGGACGTGACCATGTCGTTGCCTTCGATCTTATTCAGGAGAAGTTCCGATCAATTCCTCTGCACAAAGCTGGTTTACGATGCTTTTTGCTGAATTTCGGGAATATGGCTGTCATGTCTATATGGGATGCCAATGATAAGAGGTTGATTGCACGTTACAACAACATCAGGGGACATTCTGGAGAGTCATTGGTTGGTGAAGGGGCTTGGGATAAGAAAGTACAATTTATTCTGCCATCTCAAGAGTTCAATCTTTTTCCAGGGGGAATTCTTCCCAACGGAAAGGTGCTTATGTTTCCCTATGATAAAAGTCCCTTTGATCAGTTACCAGCTTCCTTTTACTTGTTTGATCCGATCAAGAGGGAAACCAAGGAGATAGTGATTGAGGTAGATCCTTCCGTAGCATCCGAATTATTGGGGGATGGTAGCAAACGTCGGGCTCTTCTTCTTCGAGGGAGCTATTATGAGGAAAATATCAACTCGTTGAGATGCTTAACTTCCGCATCGTAGCCTGAATTCACATTGATTATCACTCTAGCATAGGCTGAAAGCTCTCTCTTCAAAGCTCTCTCTTCAGTCTCTTATATGTCTAGGAGGTCTGGCAAGGGGTTGACTGTACTAGAAGTCTAGAACTGGTTGCAGAAGGGACTTGGGATTATGATGAATTTTTTCCTGCAGTATTTCGTGAGGGAATACTTCTAATTTTCTCTTTTCAGTTTACAGCTTCCATGTAATAGTTTGATTTAATCAAGGAATTTACAGTTTCCACATATATGCCCCCTTGGGATATATTTCCACATTCTAACGTCAATACACAATACAAATCTTGGTACTTAGTACGGATTTTCATACTATCATCTTTGTCCTACTTACCAGATACTGCATTAGTACTGGAACCAATCACTACAAGATCGTCAAATCTAAATGCTGAAAAGTGAAAAACATTAGCATGTAATAATTAAGATTGTCATTTCTGGGTTCCAAATTCTTAAGTTGGCGGAAAAAAAACAGATAAGATACTACAATATATACCTAAAACAAAACGGAGATTACAATTTTCATCACTCTCCAGATCAGATAGAAAACAGAAAATGCCGGAGTAAAGTAGGCCTAATATACTATCGTAAGGTCTTCATTTCACTAGGAGTCTTTACCAGCACTGCTGGAGGTCTCATCCTGCCAAGTTGCCTGCCACTGCTTGTCATAGAATGTCGACTCTTCCAGTAATTTTTTAACTGTTTCTATATCCTCGTTCTTTCGGATTACAAGAACTCCAACTACAGCTACAAATAATAAGGTTTTGCAAAAGAAGTTGCTCATTTGGTCTACAAGACCTACCCCTGTCAAACTGTCCACAAAGTAAGCCATAAAGAAACCTATCATTGCTGCACGACCTGCATTAATTGTGGTGAAACATTAGTAATCATTGCAGAATATGGCTTGCGTTCGCAGTTAAAAGCAACAAACAAAAATGAGAGCAAGATGGAGATAAGCTCACCATTAAGCAGTTCAGCTTCGGGAAGATGATACCGCTTAATCCATGCCCACCATGGAATAATGGAGGTGTCAAAAACAACAGGGTTTTCGTTGCTTGATGATTCTGGGTTTAGTTCCAGCCATTTTCTTCTCTTTGCCTCTGCAGATGATAAACACTAGGCAGTTAATACTCAAAAATCCTCAATCAATGCCATAACTAGTAATCATTCATTTCTCACAAAAATTGATCTGTGTGGCACAGGATAAACTATACTCAGATGACTAACTAATATGGGACTCAAGTGAACAAACACCAGTAAGAGTAGCTTGCTGTACTTTTACTAGGATGATGACCAAAGCATAAGAGGCCATTTGATAAGCTAAATCGATGATGTACTCAAAAACTCTTACAGGAAGTGGAAATAATCTTTTAACAGAAACAGAAGAGTTCAAGTGACTACCTGACATAGGTCTCATTCTCAGAACTACATCCTATCGTCCATAAATCCAACTTCTCACATAAGGGGCAGATTTATACAAGAAACATTCCTCAATTTTCAATACTCATAACCAAATATGGGAGAGAATTCTAATTACAGGCAGAAACTTCCTATGACAGGAATAAGTTTTCCAGGGATTCAAACAACCAAACAATTGGAGAACGAAAACCTATGGATACAAAGTTCTAAACACTATACTTGTAGGATCCCGATCAACAAAATGTGAATATCTTCCTGACATATACTGAGTCGACAACTCAAAAGTCAGTCAAATGTGGTACGAATCTATACATTTTTCTACAAAGACGCTTATCACTTCAAACTCCGAACAACAAGGACGATCATTACCAAAGAAGTTTAGCTGATCTCAACAAAGTACAGAGCCCCAAAAGTTTGTGGAAGAAATTAAAACGAAAAAAAAAAAAGAAGACAAACATTGCACCAACAACATAAAAGGCACAAAGAAACAATTTTGCAATAAATAAGCAGCAACCAGGAATCAAAAACAACTCAATCAAATCAACACATGCATTCAATCACTAACACTGTAGAAAAAAAAAAGCAGCTCACCAGCATCAATAACAGCATCCCAATCGGTTTGACCGCCTTTCTGAAACTGGTTTAAGTCCCAAGTCCCACCAACCCATCTGGGATTCTGAAAAGCAGCCACCGTTTCCACCTCCGGCGCCGGAGCCGCCCCAGCAGCAGCAGCAGCCTTCACAGACCCATTAGAACCCAAAGATTGCTCCTTTACTTCCTCCTTCTTCTCATCAGCAACGGCAACAGAATCAGCCTTATCTTCCTCTACAATTGCAGCTGCAGCCCCAGAAGAAGCATCCTCAGCAGAACAGGTGAAACCCCCAAGAAGAGCCGGCCTTTTCTGTCTTATAGAGGGAAGAGGCTTGTAGAACAATTGGTATTTAGCAGTAGAATGAGATGGGGAAAGGGATGGGAGGTGGGTCGACGGTGGCGATGAGAATAAGGCGAGCGACATTGCTGGAATTGGGGGAAATTTTTGCAGAGTGGACAGTGGAGTTTTTAGGAAATGGGAAGTGAGGGAGCTGAGGACATTTGAGATGTATGGGCTAACCTTAGCCGCAGAAATCGGGAATTTTGTAGTTATTATATTGGTACTTGGCTGCTGACTGTCTCACTATTATGAGCGAAGTTTTCAAAGTGAGCTTTTTAGTTTTCACTTTCAGTCACTCATTTTCACAGATTTAGTCGATTTTTATGCCTGGTATTTGAGGTAATTTCTATTTCAAATACTTAATGATGTACTTTCAATTTTTGATAGCTTAACTATAACAATGGATTTTTGATAACAATAACAAAATTTTAGTCAGGTTATCAAAAGCCACCGACCAAGTACTAAACGGAATGTATTGCATCAAATTATGCACATTCACATTAATCATGAAGTTTTGAAGTGGTAATTTATTATATGTATGACCGACTTTTTAGTTAGTTTTCCTAAGAGACCGTCAAAGTCGTTGCAAAATAATTTCAACAATAACAAGTGATGTGTGATATTTGGATCAATAACTATATATCTAAGAATATTTTACAGAAATAATAAAAATTAGAAAATTCAATAGTTAACTTTTTAATTAAACATTAAATTATGTCTGCTTTAATCGAGTTATCAAAAGTCACCGACCAAGTAAAAATGAGATGCATTATATCCAGTGGCGGAGCCATATTGAGCCCCGGCTGAAAATGTTTTAAATACCCCTAATGTATTTAACATTAAAAATTTACCCTTAAACTTCAAAATAAAAATTGTTTTGCCCCAGTAATATTTACATGTAATAGTTTTGCCCTACCTAAGGGTATGGGCTAGGCTCCACCCCTGATTATATAAAATTTGGTCTACAATAATTTTATATTAATTGTGGAGTTTCAAAAAGGACGAAAAAGTAATAATAACCGACCTAAGCAACAATTTAAATGAAGGCACGATGTTTGCTTTAAAGTTCTTATGAAAGCTACTTAGGTTGTGCTCATTTATTTGTAATGAAATTTCACATAGGTCATCGAATTTCAAAATGGTAATATTCTATTAACATCAAAAAAAATTGAGACAAAATGTCATGAAACAATGGATTTCGACTTGGGCCCACTTGTTCGTCAATTTTGCTAAGAGGATCACAAATTCAACGCAAACATTATTAACTATAAATAACGTTTTGTGATTTTGATTGATATTTACATAGTTAAGAATATTTTAAAAATAACATTACAGAACTTAGTGGCTAAATTCTTCATTAAATTATGAATTGCGTCTACTTCAGTCAGATTATGAAAATTACCTAGAGTACAACTATTACTCTTAAAATGTAGATAAATAAGCTAAAAATCTTGAGAGTTATAGTCGCATGAGACTATAGTCAAATTTACTGCTCATTTTCATTTCAATTTACTAAGTGACGAGTCCATATCCACCGAGGATTACTTGATCGGCACATCTCGCGATAATGGTCTAACCGACTCTACAAGAGGCGGTTCTAGAACATGAAACCTGATAGGATTCGGCATCCTTCCAGGTAATTCCATGCCTACTTAAGCATCGGAGTGTCTACCCTCGGGAGACTCCCGAGGCCCTCTTTTGCAGGAAACCCTAATCGGAGTTCCACTATTGAACTGGAGGTGCAAATCCGGGTTTCGTCAAGTGGCACGCCTAGTGGAACCCGATAATTAGGGTTTGTGTCACCAAACTTTCTCAAGCCTTTGGAACTTTTCTTAACCTTTGATCCCCGCTTCCAGTTAGGGTTCTCTGTCAAACAGGATGGCCGTAATCGACAGACCTCAATCCAATACAGCATCAACAGGCGGGCAGCCAAGCCCTGATGACAATGAAACCCAAGCAAAATTCCAAGATAGGCAGAAGCGTAAAAGGAATGACCGGCGGCTGAGGAAAGAAAAGACTCCCACGAGACCACCTAGTCCCGGGGATGAAAGGGAGGAAGATCCGAAAAATCATCGCAAGGGCCTCGATCCACATGATGAGGAACGATTGCCGAAATTGAAGCGGAACTCAAAAAGTTGAGAGACGATAACGACCTCAATAAGAGGAAGAAAAAGTATATATTGGAGGAATACAAACATTATTTGCTGTGTCTACCCGCTCCTTCAGATCAGAAGCTACATGACCTGATTGACGAGAAAGAAGCGCGCAAGATACTGACTTTGCTCGAAAAGAAAAAAGGCAAACGCAAAGTTCCGAGTGAGGGAAAGGCAGAAGGTAGCAGAAAAGCCCCCACCCATGAGACTTCCCAAGTAGAATTCTCTGCCACCCCTGGGACAACCTTCTGGGACTCATTCGGAAGAGCATATCCAGCATTCTACACAGCACTCGAGCAATTCGCAAAAGAACATCGACGCAAGAAGCAATCTCGCGACCAACATTGTCAAGGTTCTTCTAGTCTCGAGTTGTTGTCCGAAAAGAATTGGAATCCCCCACCGAGAGGCAATGTACATTCCCGTTTAGGACCCAAAGCTTCCCCGAAAAAGTTCAATTACGATCACCATGACACATATCGAGACACAAGATACCCTCGGTACGGTCGATATCATTATGATAATGCACAACCAGAAGAACCCTTCGAGGGGGGACATCGAGGGTTTTGCCAGCTTCTAATTCCTCGACTGGTATGCCAGGAACGAAATGATGCACAGCTCCATACTCGAGGATCTTAGGATACCTCTCAAGTTTCTCTAAGTCACTGTCAAATTCTTTGATCTTCTCCTCATCCTCCTTCATCCACTCGTCTTTTACCTCCTCGAAACCTTCGGTTTCTCGATAATTCCAGGTCACGCAGTATTTTTCAGGTGCCTTTACATATAGGAATTGAGTTTCCATATGGGAGACCCACTATAAGCTTCTACTATCTTTCCAGAGCCTGACGTAACGTTTCTTTTCACCATATACCAATCCTGAAAGGTTGTAGACGGTGTCGACAGTCAAAAAAAGTACCTCCACAATAAAAGACAGGGTTTCACCTTGGCTCGTTGGTATTTCTTTACAAAACCAAGAACGTACGTTATGAGGTTTGGGGTAAATCGAGCTAGTGGAATTTTATAATATTGCATAATCTCCTCGAATAAAGGAAAAAGGGGGAATCTCAACCCTGGAAACATGAAGCGGTCGTAAATAGTGATCTTTCTTTCTAGAGGAGTATTGACTCTCTTAGTTCCCAGGGAAGCTCTCATTTCTAAATCCTGGGGCAGATCATATTTCGTTCTCACCGATCCGAACTTCTCGCCGGAGTTTATGGTGGAGGTAAAATCATCTAAGGTTTTCAAATCTAGATTCCTAGTCATGGTTCAACCTAGATTTATACCAATCTATATTCAACTACAGGAAAATGGAAGGAAGAAAACGAAACTGAGAGTCGTAGATCTAGTAACTTACTTTTGCCACTTTCAGTAAGGGCTTCCACTCCCTTTTTGAGTTATAGCTTCCCAGAGTTACAACAATCACCGGCGGCGGCGATTCCTAGGCGTCGGCTAGTGGAGCAACTGAATGGGTTGTTGATAAAATAGTTGAGAAACCTTCTCTGACCGCGGCTTCTTCTTGAATCAACGGAGACAGTTATTATCGGAGGCGATAACTGGGGTACAACAACGAATGTGGGGAAATTAGATTTTCGCATAATAGGTTTTGAGAGTAGAAGAGAGTTCTCTTCTAAAATGAAATGGGGAGAGTAATGAGTCCAAAAGGTTTTATGTACTGCTGTTGCTGCTCATGATTTGACGGTTTGGGCGAGTTACCAGGAAGCAGCAATGATGAAGGTACCGTTGTTTGGGGAACGTACCACTAAAGACGCGCGGATTGATGTTTTGGGCGGGATCCTGAAGTGGGTCATCTTCTCGGCTCGGATATTGACCCGTGAACAATTTTATCAGGGCTTCTCGATAATTGTTGGGCCGAGACTTGCTCATTCAATTTGGGCCGGGTCCAGGTATCATTTATTTCGGGTCAATTCTTGTTTATTTCACACAACTAACACTTGACAGGGGCACTTGACGAGTCCATATCTACCGAGGATTACTGGACCGGCCCATCCCGCGATAATGGTCCAACCGACTCTACAAGAGGTGGTTCTAGAACATGAAACCTGATAGGATTCGGCATCCTTCCAGGTAATTCCATACCTATAAATAGGGTTGGTCACACCACAATACGGGTACGTTATCTCTAGCACAAAACACTACTCATATACATTTCTTAAACCCTTTTTTGTTAACTTAAGTATCGGAGTGTCTACTCTCGGGAGACCCCCGATACCCTCTTTTGCAGGAAACCCTGATTGGAGTTCCACTATTGAACCGGAGGTGCAAATCCGGGCTTCGTCACTAAGAATTCAAATGGTGTTAAACTGATAAGAAGTGAATTATCGGAATTTTTAATTCAGTGAGTATTATTAGAAAATTTCAAGAAAATTCTACTTATGAAATCTAATTCTTTTCTTTTCTTTTTTTCTCTTAAAAGTTATATTTCAACCAAAACAAAAAAAAGTTATATCAATATGTCGACCCTTATTGCATAAAAATTAAGAATAAATGGATCCGTTTCTATTTTAATCGGGGCGGGAGGCGATGACCTGACACAAAACGCAATTTTCTCAGTAATCCGCCTGAGTTCTTAAATGGGTCGGGTTATAGATTCCAACGTAATCCACTCCCAGAAATAGAATTTGCCCACTATTCGCTAAACCCGCACTTCCCATGGAGGTCGCCACCATGGCTTCCCATATGTTCCCGGCAACCAGGATGAAGCTGTCTTCTTCGTTGTCTTCACGCGCTTCAGCTCCTTCCTCTTTGCCGAAGCTCTCTCTATCTACGAGTTTCCTCTCTCCTTCTGTTGTAGGCTCCGTTTCCGCTGACTTCTCCGGCCATAGGATCCGACCCGCTTCTCTCAACCCTTACAAACCTTCCGGCTCCGGTGCCAAACGCGGCGTTGTTACCATGGTACTTTCTATGTGTCTTCTTTTTTCTGTAATATTATTTACAGCTCCAGTTACCGTTTATGTGTTTGTGGAAACAGAGGGATGTGAAATTGAATTATTTTTGTGTGTGACTACTGTGTGTTTTTCTTTTTTAACTCCTGCAGTTATGATTATGTAAGATGTAGCTTATTTAGGTGGAGGAATTGGATGTTTAAGTTTTGATATGGGTTTTTTTTTTTCACTTTGTCCAAGCACGAACTTTGGTGCTTGTTAATCACATGTTTCACAGAATGATAACAAGGGGTCTTACTAGAAATTATTCATCTTTATGAAGGAACTGTGGTTTTATAGTGAAATTGGAGTCTCTGGGTTTTTACCAAATGTAATTATCTCTCACAATTTAGCTTACTGCAACTTTTGTGTAGAACTTGGTTCAAGGGTAAAACAACAACAGGAATAGAGTCCTTATCTCGGTTCATGGAGGACATATGGTGGTCTGCCAATTATCATTATGTTGTGTGAAGAGATGTTTTCATTTTGGTTCAAGGACAATTAGGAGAAAAAATGGAGTTACAATGAAGTGTAACCATTGCTTCATAGATCATGTAAAATGGTGATTACCAAAATCATAGTAACATAATGTGAAGCAGTTTAAGTTGACTAAGTCTGATGGGTCATTACCGTTGCTTGTGAGTTTTAGTGAGTGCAAGTATGATTCTCGTGGACCAAATATGTATGCAGTTTCATGTTTGGTACTACCTGTCCCCAAAAAATTGCGCACATTGAGATAGTACAAATCTCAAAACTCAGAGTGGATTATTTTTTTGGGACAAAGGGAGTATCATTTTTGTTTGTTAAGCTACTTGATTTCTTGGCTGCAAGGGACTAGTATGACGTGTAAAGACTAGATGAACTTGGACCATGAAATCAGATCGAGCCTCCTTAAATGAGTTATTGAAGAGTAATTTTTATGGGATCATGTGGATCAGCATAACTTCAGGCTAATTTGTACCATACTACACCTATGGAGAATATTCTGAAATGTTGTAAGTAGGATAGCTAACTTGTATAGATTTTGTCTGGCAAATGTAGGCTTTTCACCTTGTGTTTCTCCGTCTGAGTAATATTCACAAATGCTACTTATTGCAGCAAGTCTCTTGTATTGGCATCTACTTATATTAAATATGTACAGTGCTGATGTATTGGTTGAGAAGAATAAGACTTTGAGTTTGTTTTCGTTGTTCTTTTCATCTCATCGCTACCTGAAAGGCTGTTGAAGATAAAATAGATACTGAAACTTAAGTACTCAATAGGATTGATAACAAGTTCTTCGTAGCTGAAATCTCACTGTGTCAATTCGGTTCCTTAGTGATTCTTGTCTAAGCTCTTTCAGCTTTTGGTTGCCCTGTACAACTGTTGCTTGGCCACAAATTTTTTGATCTTTCTATATTGCTTGTGCTATTTCCGCTAACAATGCCATATTTTTTTGAACAGGTCATTCCCTTTTCCAGAGGAAGTGCATGGGAGCAGCCCCCTCCAGATTTAGCTTCTTACTTATACAAGAACAGAATCGTGTACTTGGGCATGTCTCTAGTTCCATCCGTCACAGAACTAATATTGGCTGAATTTCTTTACCTTCAATATGAAGATGAGCAAAAGCCTATCTATCTTTACATAAATTCGACCGGGACAACCAAGGTTAGAGAACCCACTTTATCTGCTGCTTTTATAACTTGTTCATTTTTCACGTTTCATATTTTGGCTGATGAAGTAAACTTAAGCTCTGGATAAAGGATTTAAACTCTGACGAAAGGTCAAGTTTCTTGCTAATGCTTTATGGGGTCAGGATATTTTTTTTTTTAGCATCCTTTAGTTTAATGCATTTTTATTTACAGGATGTTTCTTTTCGTTTCCCCTTCTGAGTTCCTTGTTTACTTATCTCATGATTTGTCAGTGTTGTTTGCTTTCCCCTAAGCCTGAACAGCTGCCTGCTGCCACTTTGACCAGAATTTGATGTGCATGTTAGGTTCTGTGATAGCTCCACTGACTGTGCATTAGAATTGTCTACTTTTTGTTTAGGCAGTTGTCTAGTTTTCTCATCCAGAGTCTATTATTTGAATGACTTTTATGTACTCGGTGAAGCTGGGAAGTGCAGTTTAGACTATGGAAGAAATAGCTTTTCACAAAAGTAGAAAGTGGAAACAAACATGTCTCAACGAACAAACTGAAGGTTTTTTCTTTTCCTTGTAGGACGGAGAGAAGCTGGGATATGAGACAGAGGCTTTCGCAATTTATGATGTAATGGGGTATGAATCTTCTAGCTGCTCCTAGATTTTCTGGATTACTGAATAGGGCCATCAGGAGTTTGTATCGGATTTTAATTTTTTATTGATACCTTCCACAATGTCCTTGTGTTTACGTCTGTATGAATCGCTTGCTAGGTAATGCAAAAACATATGCTATTTTATGCAAACCTTTTTCTACTGCCTTATGAGTAATCAACATTGAGTCTTTAATCAGAGTTTGATGATTTTGTTTACAGTTTGATGAAACACATATTTGTAATTTTAGTCGTATAATGGAACTTAATGTTTGTTGCAGCTATGTTAAGCCCCCAATATTTACATTATGTGTTGGGAATGCTTGGGGAGAAGCTGCCTTGCTTTTGGCTGCTGGTGCAAAAGGAAATCGTTCTGCCTTGCCCTCATCAACGATCATGATAAAGCAGGTTAATTTTAGATCTTAACTTCTTCTTTTCCTTTTATTTCCTTTCTTTCCCTTTTTGTTCCCATTCGTTTAAAGAGCTCTGTGTGTCTGTTCTATTGTACACTCAAATGTCAAAGATATACTGAAGGAAAAAGTGATGGGAATGGAGTGGATTAGGATTTCACTGGATTGTCAATTTCTGGTTCACTTACAGTGTTGCTGTAATTTGCAGCCCATTGGTCGATTTCAAGGTCAAGCAACAGATGTCGACCTTATGAGGAAAGAAGTGAAAAATGTGAAGGCAGAATTGGTAAGTTACATATTCTCCTTGTCATTGATATTACTGGTACTACTAAAGTGTATGGCTGTGTTAGTTTTTCCCCTTTGTTCATTAGCTCTGTTCAATCAAGTTACTTACAGTTGGGATTTGCAACAATATAGCCATTGTGTAATAGGGAGCTGATGTATATTTACTATTGGCACAACTGCATGATGGATAATATGCTTTCCCTCGTAATTTTATTTGTGAAGGTCAAACTATACTCAAAACACACAGGAAAATCAGTTGAGCAGATTGAAGCTGACATAAGGCGGCCAAAATATTTCAGTCCAAGCGAGGCAGTTGAATATGGGATCATTGATAAGGTATCTTACTTGCAAAAATTGCTCCCCTAACTTTGGCAATATAAAGTGTCTTATGGTTTGTTGTCATATTGTTTTGAAGGTTCTTTACAATGAAAGGGGCAGTGAAGATAGAGGAGTTGTGTCTGATTTGAGGAAAGCACAACTTATTAATTGAGTTAGAACTCAACACTCGTCAGAGCTTTTGCAATGAGGAACAACATGGATGGGGGTAGCCTGAAATTATCCTTACTGTGTACATTCTTTAAGGACGAGTGAGGCTGTTCCATTAAAGAAATGAGAATCCCTTTTGGGATCCAAAGTTATGAACCATGTTCGACTTCTACCGGCAATTCATACACAAGGCTATTACTCTCTGTAAACTCTTTTTTAAATGCCTAAGTTTAGTTTTTCTTGATTATTATTCTCATGTTTGTGTGGTAGTTGTACTCTATTTTGTAACACTCATCTTCTTAGTCCCATATTGTCCATTTAGCCAATCCTTCAATTACCTACCGTGCAGCTTATTATTCCAGGTTTATCTGATTTTCTTATATGTAGTATTCAGTCATCATGCTGAGTTTTGCTGAGATTTACCCCTATTTCATTAATTTGAACTAATAATTGTAACATGGCTGGTAGGCACTTGGCACATTGTCTAGATTCTCTAGAATTTCCAATTGCTTGTTCTTTTCGAAGGACTCACGCCACACCACCATTACCATAATGCTTCATCCTTCTTTTGGCAAAATTTAGGGCATTTGGACATCTGGAAAGGTGAGAGTAGGGGGTTGATTTTGACTTCTGTTGGTGTTTGCTCTACTTTATGTGGGCCTTTCTTGGTGTTCAGTTAGATCTGCTCATTTATTGGTGGTAAATAGTAACCTATCATTGCTGAGCTCACTCTTTACTTTGAAGTTACTACCTTTTCTGCTCCCTGGCATTCTTACAAGTGTTCAAACGTGCTGAGTTTTAAGTAAAAGTATAGAAATGCCCAGAAAACTAGTTTGTTTCAACGGCGTACATAATTTCTTTGCTCTTATTAGTGATCTCTGGACCCGGTGAGGCTATGACTCAAAGCCAGTTGTTTCCACCATTTTCATATATTGAAAGTGGTTTTCTATAGTTTTTTTAATTCTGCCCCTGTATCTCTTGTTCCTAATATTTGTGCATCTAACTGTATGGTGTATGAGCGGCGTCGTTTTCTCTTATGATGTGAATTATACACATTCATTTTGGTGTACATTTCATTAGTGAAATCAAATTAGCGTACAGAAACTGTGATGAAGATTTCATTTTTGTTTAAAGAATGCATTATTTTTTGTTTGAATTAACTCCCTTCCTAAGGGTTAGAAAACTTGTTTGTCAAGTGAATATAAAGCAGATACTGCACAAGTCATTATGATTTTGTCTTTAGTACGATCACTGCTTTTTGTTTATGGATTATTTTACTTTTTCAAATGTAAGCATGTTAGATGTCTGAAGAACACAACAAAGAAAGATCGATTGATTGCATTTGGGTGAGCGATGGACGGACCAGATTGGAGGTCACCAACACCAAAGCTACGCCAAATTTGATTGGGAAAATCGTATGTGTCTACTTTCGTATTATACGTGTCAGATCAAAGAACAAATGGTCATTTCTACCTATAAACTAATGAGGAGGGGGGAATTCTGACCATATCATAATCTAATTATTGTTGAACTCTTTGTTAATTAAAAGATAATTCTAGTCTGTATTAGAAATACTTTTGTCCTTGAAAAGAATTTGTTCAAGAGTAATTAAATTAGGACTGTCAACGAATCAAGCCCAAACAATTAGGTGCTCGAGCTCGAGTTCGATAAAAAATTTGGAGCTTGTATTCGAGTTCGAACTCGATCGAGCATCTAAATTGAAGTGTGAATTTGGGAAAACAAATAGTTTGTGCTTGGTTCGATTGACTCGAGTTTTTGTGTTTGATAAAAATTAAATTCGAATGTTCGATAATATTGAGCTCGAATAAATTTTAATACTTGTCATTTTTAATTCAACAAGTTCAATCTATATATTCTATGAGCAAAATTCTTTGACAAATCATTAAAAATATGTATATCCCATTATTACATCTTCAAAATATATAGGACAATAATTTTTAAGAAATAAAAAGAAAAGTTTTCATGAATTATATATTATTCATAATAAAAATAAAATAATTTATAATAAGCTCGAATAGGCTCGACGAGCTCTTGAATCAAGTATATTGATACTCGTGTTCGACTTGTCTATCTAATCCAACTGTTCGAATTTGGTTTGAATTCGGTCAAAGCCAAATTTAAGCTAAGCTTTGACCAAGATATTCGCGAATTGCTCGTGAAATGCTCGATTCGTTGATAACTCTTTTAAATAGTAGTACTAAGTTTAGTTAACGTGGCCTCACAACAAGTACTTCATATTAAAGTCGTCTTGTTTTATGGGTTTTATCATTAAAAAGATTCAGTCTGGTATCACATTATTCTTGATTGTATTCATCTATAAGGCTACAAGCACAGGGGGGTCGATTTGCTTTTTTAATTGGATTAGCACAAATATAACTAGTAGTGCAATGACACCAAACGCCATTCGATCCACTTGCCTAGAGATGGACCATATCATTCCTATGCATCCTCACTTTTTTCCGTATCTAATTTTCCATGATAAACATGGTTGGTACTTCGAACATTTCTTTGGTTTCAGTTCAACCTTTTATAAGCTTGATCCACCAAAGTGGACTAATATAATACCTCGGGCGTTAGTTGCGTTTTCAACTTTTCCATTAGTTAATCCAAAATTTATAGAAAATGGGCTCTTTAGTCATGTTTTATGAATGTTGGGAAATAAAATTTCCGTTTACAAAACGATACATTTTCTTTTAATAGTTGTATTTCGAGATACTTAACCTAGTAATGAAATCAATCACTTAACTAACAACCATGATGGCTGTCTATACTACTCGCAATAATCATAAACAGGTTACCCGATATGCGCTATATCAATGCTACAAGCTGCATCCTCAAGACGAATTTTTCCTCCTGTTATCAGAATTACAAGATTACACAAAAAAAAAAAAGCAACATTAAAATTCTAGCTAAATCCTCTTGGTATTTTGGTTAATTAAGTTCTTGATAGTACACTGATAATAAGGCCATCACCAAGTCAATTACGGGTTTGAAAATGCGTGAACATGCCAATGTAATCCTGACGAGTCACAACCGAGGCACTAGCCTCTCTCCATAGAAACTGTAGTGGAAGAATGATGACAACCCTAAATTATTATTTTTTTTATAATAAAACCAAAAGCCAAAAAGGTAAAAGAAAGAGGAAGATAGAGGGTTAATAGAACCCTAGCTAGAAAATATCATGAATGCAGCCAGCTATTGATGATCATCTCCACCTATAAATACAACTTCTCATTACTCATATTGTCATTCCTCACCTTTTGTTTGATTTTTGCAATAAACTCTCTTCTTAGTTTTTGTGCTGAAACACAGACATGGATTCTAAAAAATTGCTCTTTCAGTTAACGTTTCTCTGTAGTGCGATTTTCGCTTACTTTCCAACAATCTGCTACGGAGACTACTATGCCTCTAGAGCTACCTATTATGGTAGCCCTGAATGCAAAGGAAACCCTAGTATGTATAATAAGCGGTTAAACTTTTTGTTTGCCTTTTGTTTTATAAATAATTTTAACTGTTTGGTGTTTTATAAGTAATTAAGCTATTGATTTAACTGATGATCAGCTGGTGCTTGTGGATATGGGGAGTACGGAAGAACGGTAAATGATGGCCAAGTTACTGGTGTTTCAAGGCTTTACCGCGGTGGCGCTGGCTGTGGTGCATGCTATCAGGTAATTCGACTAGAGATGTAGATTCAGTCACTTTAATTATTTTTATATGGTATTTTTCACATCAATTATGTTAATTCTAACAAAACCTTTAAATAACACGTTGAAAATGTCTCAAATAACTTAAGTTATAGTTCGAATATTTGATGTGAAGACATTTTTACTTATGATAGTATTCTCGCTTAAACGTGACTCGAATTGAAGGTTGGCCAAGTAGATTATTTTCACAAATTACAAAGTGGATTGATTAACATTTGAATTAGACTTTAGGATTTAACAGTATGAGGTTGATGTCTACAACGATTTGACGTGCATTTTTCACTTTCCAGAGAGATTCAAATCATGCAAATAATTGGCCATAATTACGTTGTTTATTTATTTGGTTTGCAACCAAAAGTTTCCTTTTCACCTTTTTCCTTTAATCCTAAAAAAATGTCACTTCTCTATGAATCTTTTTCACAATATCTTACCCGTCGTAATGATGAAGCATATCTGATCTCATCATGACATATATACTACGTATTATTTGCGTTTTGTGGAATTTTGACCTGGCATTAAATTAATTATGGAAGACACACAAATGTTCATTTCTCATTCCCCCACGTTTTTGTCAGGTGAAATGCACAGTTCCGGGACTTTGCTCCGACGAGGGAGCCACGGTAGTGGTGACGGACTACGGCGAGGGAGACCGGACGGATTTCATTCTAAGTACCGCCGCCTATGCCAAATTAGCCCGTCCGGCTTTAGCCGACAAGCTCTTCGCGTACGGAGTTGTCGACGTAACTTTCGCCAGAATCCCTTGTAAATATAACTACAACCTTCAATTCCAAGTGGTGGGAAAGAGCAAGAACCCTGGTTACTTAGCTATTGTACCCTTGTACCAACCTGGTGCTTATGAAATTGTAGCCGTTCAAGTTTGGCAGGTAAATTATACGATTAATAGGGATAATTAATGATCACACTCAAATAATTCCATAATTAATTGGTCTAACGACGATTAATTATGAAACTTGTACTACATCAGTCCAAAAAAAAAAAAAGAAAAAAAAGACCACATTGAATTTTGGGATTTGTGGTGGTTTTAGTATATTTTAAAACTCAATATGAACTGTATTTTTTTTTTGGGTCAGAGGGAGCCGTATTTAAAGTAATTTATTTTAATAGATTGAGAACAAATCATGAGAAGTGGTTCATTTATCGACATTAATTTTATTTTATTTTTAAATCCATTGTACTTCACCTTTCAATTAGGCTTTCAAGTAGTGGAGTGCATGATCATAGCTTTGTCATCACTAACATTATATGTTTTTGTTCCTTTTTTTTTTGTGGTGGTTGGTTAGGAGGATTGTAAGGAATGGAGGCCAATGCGTAGGGTCTATGGGGCAGTATTTGATCTTGAAAATCCGCCATATGGAATTGCAATTACCTTGAGGTACCAAGCTAGGGTTTATGGCTACGGAGATGCTAACTCATGGGTTCAGCTTAACGCTGTGATCCCAAGTGATTGGAAGGTTGGAGTTACATATGACACTGGCATTTCCACCTGAGCCAAGACTCAATATTTAACAATCATTTTTCAGGAAATAAATTAAGCTCAGATTTGCTTTTTGGATCCTGATGATGATAGTGATATATTGTGTCTTCTTTTGGAGCAATATATATATTTTGTACGTTGCTCAAATATGTTGTGTTTTAGCGTGAGATAAATATGTTCTAGCATTATAGTTTTTATATTATATATGGAAGGGATTTCAAGGAGTACTAGGCTCCAAGTTTTTTTTTCCCCCTTTTTTTCAGTCATACTCTGTCGTTAGGGACGAGGAATAAAACATAGGGATTATATGATGTAACTTTGGTCAATAATATTATGGAATTGATCCTTATAATGTGTTAAGAATTGTTGTGCCACTCTTATAAACTCGGTCACAATCATACAAAGTCTTGAAATCACTCTTCATATTACGAAAACAAACTTGGAATTGGGGGGTCACACTACTACGTCAGAGGACTAGGGATCAGATTCTATATTCACCAAATTTGTGTAAATAGATAACAACGAAATCCAGTAGTCCACCATATGGGATAGACTAAATAAGAGTACATTTATTTGAATATGCGATTTATGTTTATTAAATCATGATAAAACTTGTGGATCTTCGTGACAAGTTTGTCCCTAATTAAAATTGTGGTGTAATCATGATGCGAGACTAATGTCACGTGACATTCGCTCGCCCAAATAGATTGTACGAAACTAATTGACCAAGTAACTTTTATTTTAGCTTATTATAAATAAAAAAAAAACCACAGAGAGGAGAGGATAGAAAGCCAGTGATGGACAATTGAAGTATAGTACAACTGGTGATTTTATCAATAATTAACCGAAATTGCCAACTAATTTTCCGAAACATGTTTATTGAAAAACAAATTTTACAACGAATTATTTGGAACTATTTACAACAAATTTTACAACAAATTTTAAGTCGCGTAATTATTTTTGGGGATTTGTGTGTACCAAGAAAAAAAGAAAAGAAATGGGAAGGGGCCGTTCAAACTCCATTGTCTACAGTATTCATTTGCGCTAATCTTGTAACCTTAAGAGTTTTGGACTTGGTTGGGCTTTAGCCCTTATTACGACCAAAGAGCCTTACAAATCCAGTCTTCATAGTTTTAACCCTGAAACATTTTGCCGAAATAATAATCCCGAAACTCCAATTTTAATTTGATCTCAGTATCACAAATTAAACCGATTTAACTGCTAATAATCCAATTTATATTAGTCCTTCCTTGTTTAATTATTTTTTATAGTATAATAAATAAATGAAATCTGATATAATTCTCTTCATCTCAAAAAAATTAACCCACTTGTTAGTTAAACTGAAGAAATCTGCAAAAAGGAACATTTTATAAATCCAAAAAACATTATTTTTTTGGGATGGATGGATTGACATTTAGGGACGTAATCAGTTATTGCACCAATAACAAATACAATTGGCTAGCTACAATTAACAATTACCTTATCCATAATCATAGTCACTGCCACCGCCAAACCATGGCTGCCGTTTGATGGTTTTGGAAAGAAAAATCTGAGCTTTATGGTACTTTTTTCTATTTTAATATAATTTTTTTTATTAATCATATCCTTCTAATACAAAAACAGTTCTTATATTGTGATGGGAAGAATATATAATATTATTTCAAGTATAGAATTTAATTTATTGATTGATATCGGGAACTATAGCCAAATTGCGGGGCTGCATGCTACGTATGTATATCCAATGTACAGGAGTTTACGTTCCAGGTCCGAATGTAGAACTGGATGAATGTTCTTAAAGATAGAATATTGCTTGGATTGTATATTATACGTACGTAAATGTATACTTTACACGTGTTGAGAGTATTGTTAAAAATCCCTTTGAACTTGAAAACAAGACACTTGTCCCACATTGAAGGTAGGAAGCCAACTTGATCAATATATATACCCTATGTGCTATTCCCCTAGTTTTGAGGTGGAACCACATGTGGGTTTATATCAGTTTCAAGATGGTATCAGAGCGGGTTTTAATCCGCGGACTTTGTGGGTGAACTTTGACCGATCCGGTGGTTTTTCCAGTTTGACTTTACCTGTATTGGATTTTAACTGACCTAGTAATATACCCGAGAACTTTGACTTTACCCGTATTAGATTTTGACTAACCCAATAGTATATCCGAGAACTTTGATTTACCCGTATTGCGCTTTGAATGACCCGCGGACTTTGTATGGGATTACATGGACCTTCAAGATGGTATCAGAGCGGATTTTAATCCGCGGACTTTGTGGGTGAACTTTGACCGATCCGGCAGTTTTTTCGATTTGACTTTACCCGTATTGGGTTTTGATTGACTCGGCAATATATCTGAGAACTTTGACTTTACCCGTATTGGGTTTTGACTGAACCGGTAGTATATCCGAGAACTTTGATTTACCCGTATTGCGTTTTGACTGACCCAGCAGTATATCTGAGGATTTTGATTAACCCGTAATGGGCTTTGGATGTTCAAAGGGGCCTTGTCCAACCCCTTTGAGCTTGAGTGGGGGTGTTAAAACCCCTTTGACCTTAAAAATAAGTGAAAAACACCTGTCCCACATTGAAGTTGGGAAGCCAACTTGATCAACATATATATCCCATGTGCTACTCCTAGGTGTGTACATGGTCCGGTTTGTCCAGTTTAAATGCAGAAGTATCGGCCAAACCGGATTTTACGGTTTAAAATTTTATAAACTGAACCGGGCAAAAGATGAACTTCAACTATAGATTGTTATAGTTCAATCATTACGGGTTAATCAAAGTCCTCGAATATACTTCCGGGTCAGTCAAAGCGCAATACGGGTAAATCAAGATGGAATTTTAGCGAGAAAGATGGATTATAATAGTTCAATCGTAAGTTGTTGTAGTCCAACTCTTGTGGGTGTATCTTTTTTATTTTATTTAATATGATGATTGTCCTTTGGAAAAAAAAAAAATCCGCACCAGCCGGACTGTGTTTTTCGGGTTTGATCCGGTTCGATTTGTGGTATGGGCCGGATTTCCTTTCTTTCTATTTTAAGATCTGGTTTGGTTGGGTTAATGGCCCAAAAGCCAAAAATTTTAATTCCCATATGCAGGATGTTAACGACCCATGTCACAAATAGGCCCATTACAAACTTAATTTCAAAAAAAGGCTCATAATAACACAAACTGAATTACTTCTCGCAGTTCAGAAATTATTCACATACAGTTCGTTTTTTACAATTTTACCCCTGAATTATTTTCTTTCTTCTTTCATCTTCTCCTTCCCCATCTCTTCTTCTTCTTTCTCTTTTATTCTTTCTTCTCCTTTCTCCTCTCTTCTTCTTCTTTAAATCTAAATCTACTAATAATCAGACACTAAAAATATAGCGGAACACGATTGTCAACAACGTGAATGCTCACTATCGATGCCGATAATTTTTTTTTCCAAATTCTATTTAAAAAAATTAAAAAAAAAGTTGCTGCCTGGGCTGGCCGACCCGGAAACCTTGGCCGGGTTTCTCACTGGCCAAGGGGTATGAATTGGCCTGGTTAGGGACCGGCTAATCCTTGAAGAGTGGCCGACTCGATCCATACCCCTTGGCCGGCGAGAAACCCAGCCAAGGTTCCCGGGCTGACCACCGTTCGGGTCGGCTAGCTGGTGCTTTTTTTAATTTTTTTTGTTGTAATTTTTTTAATAATTATTTTAGTTAAATTATTTATAATTAATGTAATTAGTTGTTGAATGTTGTGTTATTAGTTCTAATTAATTTAATTACATTTGTATAAATTTATAATAAAAGGAAACAATTTAATTAGTTTTGTAATTTATTTAATTATATTTGTAATTAATTTAATTATATTTGAATCTATGGAGTATAAATTGAACAACTAATATGTATAATTAATTTAATTGAATTTATTTTAATTTATATTTGAATCTTTAGGTTTAGGTATAATTTAATATGTATAATTAATTTAATTGAATTTATTTTAATTTATATTCCATTAGGTATAATTAATTTAATTGAACTTATTTTAATTTCTATTTGAATTATTATTGTAATAAAATATTTATACATAATATTTAATGTAGGTTACAAGGATAAATTAATTAGATATAATTAATTTAATTGAATTTATTTTAATTTCTATTTTGATTATTCTAGTGGAGTAGTTATATATATTCATTAATGTAGGTTCAAAGGAGAAAAAAGAAATGGGCAGATGTACCTGATTCTTCATTGTTGCTTGAGTCGGGAACACAGGACATGCATGGTCGAGTCATTTCTGCCTCATATTGTCGTGGGAGTCCAACTGGGCATAAGTCAAAGGGTGAGTCGCAGATGGGTCAGGCCAGTAGTAGTTTGGGACTTGACGATGTATTTGATCATGCCAGTTTGGACTTACAGAATGTGAGTGACAATGATGATGTCCCGACTGAAGATATCGTCTCGGAAGGGTTTAATGATTTCGTAGGTGACTCACCTCCACATTCACCTTCACATTCACCTTCATATTCACCTCCACATTCACCTCCAGCTAGACGAAGCAATGTTATTTGTCTTAGGTTTAGAGGACTTGGAGCTGCATCTGCATCTGTATCATCATCAGCAGGTAAGAAATTAGTGTATGGGGTTTATATTTTACATTTTAGTAGTTAGGGTTTTTCAAATATTTTATCGGAAAAAATTAAATGATTTGTTACGTTAATTTCAGCGAGTAATGACCAGCCTTGGGTTGTCACGAGACCAGTTGTTGGTGGCCCTCATGACGGTTCTGTTATTCCCAGTTTTCTTGGTCATGTGACCCATCGCTTGACGGATAAGTCGTACAAACCCTCCTTGGAGATGGATACAAGAATCACATACTTCAAGTTGTTGAAAGAATAGAAGGGTTCTATATCGATTGAGGCTCAGATCTTGTTGGCTGGTACAGGGCTATCCCATATCTTGGACATCATGCACACTAACATTGATAAGGCATAGATTACAACATTTGTAGAGAGGTGGCAGCCGGACACCAATACATTTCACATGCCTTTTGGGGAGATGAAAATCATGTTACACGACGTGCAACAGATATTGAGTATTCTCGTTGAAGGTAGATTGATTACAGCAACACCTGAGACTGTCGATTGTAAGACTTTGGTCATGAGGGCACTGAGAATGACTAGCTAAATGCTACAGACTAGTAAAGTAATCCACGGTGGAGGGGTTCAGTCGGGCCTTGTTGCGAAGACAGGTCGAGCGGCAGGGCTTGCTTTAGATCAGGTGATTGCCTGGTTATGGGTCATGTTAGGGAACAGGTTGTTTACCGACAGGAGTGGCAGTAATGGCAGACGGTTTTACATTAATGGCAGTCAACTCGTCAACAA